CAAAGAAAGCCCGCTTGCCTTTTTTTAGAAAAGCATCTTTGGGGCCACTGTGATCTGGATGATTGAGAATCCCCACAGACATTTATTTCCGGGATGTTATCGCGAAGGATTCCACAAAAAGAAAAACGAGACTTCTAAACATACCTTCTCCAGCTTGGAATACAGCTCTCCAACTTCCGTTTTTCCTTGGTCTTTAACCTTTTAGGTGAGAATTGAACAGAACATGCAATTTAGCAACCGGATCCAGATTAACAGAAAATTATGTAGCTCTAAATTTTCTTATACCTCCAAACACCACTCACTTTATTGGAGAAATAAAGGTGAAATCTTGCAGGTAATAGTGATTCAAACCAAAAAGAGACAGAATCTTTCTTAAGTAAGGTAATGGTTCCCCTTGCACATATGTGCTAGTCGTTCCCAACTCTAGGGGACGGTGCTCATCTCGGTTTCAAAGCCGAAGAGCCAGCGCTGTCCGAAGACGTCTCCGTGGTCTTGTGGCCAGCATGACTCAATGCCGAAGGCGCACGGAACGCTGTTCCTTTCCCACCAAAGGTGGTCCCTATTTTCCTACTTGCATTTTTTACGTGCTTTCGAACTGCTAGGTTGGCAGAAGCTGGGACAAGTCACGGGAGCTCACTCGGTTACGCAGTGTTAGGGATTCGAACCGCCAATCTAAGTCACTGATCGACAAGCTCAGCGTCTTAGCCCCTGAGCCACCGCGTCCCACTTTTCTTAAGTAGATAGCCTAATCTCATTGCAGTATTGAAAACAGAGTCAAGGGAAATTAATAAAAGCAGTTATTAAGGACTAATTTTGACCAGAAAAAGGTAACCATACTGGGGAACGTAAAGGAATTTGTTCTGATTATTTTGCAACACAGACAGCAAACAATGCCATTTTCATCAATCCCTGGGGCCTTAATATCATACAGGCTAAGAAATTTATCAAGCTGCAAATATAAACATTTTTAGAACAGAATCGGATAATTGGCGGTCAGAATCCTGAGCAATTCAGCCTCCCGACTCCCTTTTCAAAGAAATGCTAAAGAATGACTTCTTTTGGTTTCTTTATCACCTACCAGAGCTAGTCCTCGACTTACGACCACAATTCAGCCTAACATTTCTGCTGCTAAGCAAGACACTGGTTCAATGAGTTTTGCCCCATCTTACGACCTTTCTTCTCACCGTTGTTAAGTGAATCGCGACGGTTGTTAAGTGAGTCACAACGGTTGTGCAGCTTCCTCATTGGCTTGGCTTGGCAAGAAGGTCACAAAAAACGAGATCACATGACCCCGTCGTAAAAGTGAGTCGGTTGCAAAGTGTCTGAATTTTGATCACCTGGGGGTGCTTCAGTGGCCGTGGGAAAATAGGTCCCAAGTCACTTTGCCATTGTAACTCCGAATGGTCATTAAATGAACCATCGTAAAGCGAGGACTAGCTGTATTTTCTCTAACTATCAAAATTAAAGTCTACAACGAAGCCAAATAGGGAGGAAAATGACAATATATAAGTATATATTCAAAAGTAAGAGACAAAAGGGGGAAAAAACCACAATCGAGATAGATTTGAGAAGGAAAGGAAACAAGAAATGATATTTAACTATTTTTGGTTCTGCGGAAATACCACCCCAAGAAAATAAAAATTAAGAGCTGGAAGAGACACGGACAACAATAGAAAAAGAAAGGAAGAGAGGAGATGAGAGGCGAGGAAGAGGAGGGTAGGAAGATAGAGGTAAAGAGAGGAAGATGGAAGGGAGAAAGAGAGAGGGCAGGAAGGGGAAGAGAGGAATAGGGAAGAGATAAGGGAAGAAGGGAGGGAAAGGAGAAGAGGAAGGAAGGAGAGAAGGAAGGGAGGGAGAAAAGGAAGAACCTACAACAATAAAAAAAGAAAGGAAGAGAGGAGGAGATGAGAGGAAGAGGAGGGAAGGAAGATAGAGGTGAGGAGGGGAAGATGGAAGGGAGGAGAGAAGGAGAGGGGAAGAAGGAGAAGAAGAGAGGAAGAGGGAAGAGGGAAGGGAAGAAGGAAAGGAAAGGAGAGGAGGAAGGAAGGAGAGAAGGGAGAGAGGGAGAAAAGAAAGAACCTATAACAATAGAAAAAGAAAGGAAGAGAGGAGATGAGAGGAAGAGGAGGGAAGGAAGATAGAGGTGAGGAGAGGAAGATGGAAGGGAGAAGGAGAGAAGGAGAGGGGAAGAAGAGGAAGACAGGAGTAGGGGAGAGGTAAGGGAAGAAGGAAGGGAAAGGAAATGAGGAAGAAAGGAGAGGAGGGAGGGAGGGAGAAAAGAAAGAACCTACAACAATAGAAAAAGACAGGAAGAGAGGAGGGGAGGGAATGAGAGGAAGAGGAGGGGAGGAAGATAGAGGGAAGGAGAGGGAGGTGGAAGAGAGGAGAGAAGGGAGGAAGGGGAAGAGGAAAAGAGAAGTAGGGGAGAGGTAAGGGAAGAAGGAAGGGAAAGGAGAGGAAGGAAGAAAGAGAAGGGAGGGAGTGAGAAAAGAAAGGGGAAAAGAAGATGGTGTCAAAACAGGCGAGGAATGATAAACAAAGCAACCCAAATGGTATGTTATAACCCTCTAAATGGAACGACAAATGTAAAAAAGAATAATAACTATACGAATTAAAGCCTACAACCAAGCCATGGGTGTACGTGTTACTCCCACCCTCTAAAACCGAGTCAAATTCCTCTCTTTTCCATCCTTTTGGGAGCCAGAGAAGATTGGAAATCAACCAGGGGAAAATCTGGAGTGAGCTGACCTTGACGACTTTCTGGAGCCGGTTGTGACATTCGGTGGCTTTTCGCTTGAACTCCTCCGCCGCCAGTCGAGATTCCCTCAGCTCCGATTCGTAAAGATCGCTGCGTCTGCGAGCAGAAATAAGGTCTTCTTCTAGCTGATTCATCATCAGTCGCATTTCCTCCACTTGAGCTTGGTACTCCTGAGGGACGGGAAGGGAAATCAGCCATCTTGGAAAGTTATGAGGGGAAAATGGAGGGGAGGAAAGATTCTGGAATCACAGGGAGACTCCGAGTGAAATGTGGTCGTCCGTTTGTTTCTCATACATTCATTCGTCCATCCATCCATCCACCCATTCATTCATATAACAGAGTTGGAAGGGACCTTAGAGGTCTTCTAGTCCAACCCCCTGCTTAGGCAGGAAACCCTACACCACTTCAGACAAATGGCTATCCAATCTCTTCTTTAAAAACTTCCAGTGTTGGAGCATTCACAACTTCTGGAGGCAAGCTGTTCCACTAATTAATTGTTCCCACTGTCAGGAAATTCTCCTCAGTTCTAAGTTGCTTCTCTCCTTGATTAGTTTCCATGCAATG